TTGGCTATATATCCCATGTTAGCTATGATTATATCCTCATCGATAAGTCTGCTATTGCAGACAAAAGAGAATAAATTGTGATTAGCAGGTGCTTGGATTTGTTCCTTCGTAGACTGGTTTTGAAATAAAAAGGAAAAAAAAACATTGGATATACTTTCAAAGAATGAGTTTGATGTGTAATTAAATTGAATATAAAAGTCCAAAAATGTTGTTGTTGCTCACAACAATTTTCAAATGAGAAGTGTCCTTATGACCTCGTATTTGGTTTTTTCAATATAATTTAAAGTGATGAAAATGACGCCAATGTTTCTGAGAGTTTTTTTTTTTTTTCTTGAAGTATTAGACTTTTGTCATAATGACATTAGGTGACAATAATTTTCGTTTTGTTATATAGATCGATTCCCCACTTCCTTTGATTCTTTTTCTTTTTTTGATTATTTTTGAACGTACTATGACCAGTTCCAAAAAAAATTATGGGTGACCGGTAATACTGCACAACACAGATACGCATTTCACGCAATACGAGGCATTCAGAGCGGTTTCGTTAAGGTAAACGAGGTTCAGTTTCATTTAGATTTATAAAAATATTGGCTTGCTTAATGACACATAAAATGCAAACTGTTGTTTTTTGCTATTGTTTCTCTGTTTCTTTAATTTTTTAAGACTAACTATTTTGTCCCGAATATTCCAAAAAATTTCTAGACCAGAGATTTTCTGAATTTTTTTCTTTAAAACTTTTGCATTCCAAAAAGATAATAAAATATCGATAGCAGTCTTTGAGAATATTTATCCTAATGATTTTAAACTTATTAATAATGAAGTCCTAACCTAAGGAAGAAAGCAAATTTTCATATTACAATATTATTTATTGCTCATTCTCATTATTATAATGTGTTTATCTGAATTTCGTTCGACAATGCTTTTTGTATTTGCAATATTGCTTGACTTTTGCAGAACAACAATTCTTTACTTACAAACATTCTTTCATCAGCTAGTTTGGATAAAAAGTTTTTGCTAGAAAGAAATTTAACAGATAGAGATAGATAAGAAAAAAAAAACAAGTAGAAACATCATCAAAATGTGTTAGAAGCTAATTAATTATTCATTCACAAATGTAAATTGTAAAAAAGGTAAGAAATTAAAGCTCTTCAATCCAGAAAGTAAATAGATTTTGAATTTATTCTTCAAAGTTTCATCGTGATTTTTTTCAAAACATAGATTTTTAATTTCCCGATAATTTTAAGAGAGTGAAGATTACTTGATTTGCAGGTAAATAAATGCTTTTTCATAAAAATAATAATGATAGTAACAATAATAAATAAATAATAATAATAATAAATAATAATAACATAGGAATGCAAAATGTCATATCGTAGGCTAACAAAATCATTTGTTAAGAGTAAAAAAACTTAAGAACAAAGTAATAGCAAATAGTGTTAAACAGAAATTCTCGGTATGAATAAATTTAGATTTATCTGCTTAGGCTGTTCGAAATTTTTATGATTAAATCTACTCTTTATATCAAAAGTTGTGATTACACTTCTCTTATTAACTTGCTTGTTTCTTATTTTAGTTTATTTCTTGTATTTTGAAAATATTTCTTTTTGAGGCAATTACTTTTGAAATGTAGTATTACGGACGAAAAAAATAAAATCCAGAATAGCAGCTTTCAAAAAGTTTGTCTGATTACATACAAAAAATCTCTCCAACTGACCTACCTTTAAAAATTTTCACGTACATTTGGAAGAGATATATTTGGAAAAAAGCAATCATATGAGAGTTCCTCCAAAAATTTGTGCTTGAATACATACGAATGGTTTATACTGTGTAACATTCGTTGTGATTACAGTGGTACTCACACACTGCTTATCACAACAGATAAAAAATGAGATATTTTTGTTTATCTCTATGGTTTTCTAGTTAATCTTCCAGATAATGATTAATTAATGAATCGTTAAAGATGAAATATTTTACAATTTCCTTTATCCACTTACTTCTACTCTGACGTTGGAAACTTAAATACTGTTCTAAACTTGAAACTACCGAATAGACCAAATGATAAGACGATAACGAATTGTAAGTATAAGGCATCTAGGTAATCAAAACTAGACTATAATGTTTAAAATGAGTTATATTTCAATGTTATGAACATTAAAATTTTTATTTACGCATTTCTATTATCAATTTTACTTGTATATTTTGAGTTTTAATGGTGCTTTTACAATTACTGCTATCTGCACATTTCAATTTCATTTGTATAATCACCATCCCCATCATTTTCCCAATTTTAATTAATTCTCTTCCCAATTATTCTTAACAACAAATGGATCAAAACACTGAGTTAGGAATGCATTGTTGTGATATTTGAAATTTATAGATAGATAACTGCAATTGTCCTAAATTTCTCGAAAAAAGTGAAAAGGAAAACTTTCATTTTCCATTGAATAACCTCTAATATACATAGTTACATCTGAAAAAGATGCAGAATGAATATAAGAAATGACATTTTTGCATTAATGACGAAGAACAAGTTTTGTACATTTCACTACAAACAACAGTTCTTAGCGATAGCTCATCATCAAACAACCGCTAATTTGTTTACGACCTTAGTGATGATTATCTGTCTTCTTTTTATCAATGCTATTTGAAGATAAATTCATTCCGATGACCTGAAAGTGTATTTTAATATTAGGATAAATCATTCTGGTTTTTTAGCTACAATTTTTGAAGTAGATTTACTTCTAGCACAATAAATGGTGAATGAAGGACTTTCAACAGCCGTGAGAACACATGAGAAACATATTTATTCCACTTTATGACTGTGTCTTACAAAAATAAATTCTGATTAAATTTGCGGAATTTCCAGAAATGTCTAAAAGTGCAAAAGTATAGTGTACACTATACTTTCACATTTCTATATGTCACTGTTTTTGTAAGACGTATTTGAAAGAAAATATTGCATAACCATATAATTACGCTTATATTTTTTTCCTCTGCCACCACTAAGCCTGTAAACCTGTAAATGTTCACTAACGCGCCATCATAATTGGTCACAATTTCCACTTAAAATGTTCGCTCACTCACTAAAAGAATAAAAGTACCTTTAAAACACTCTATTAAAGTTTTTTCAAATTGACGATTTGATAGAGATATATTTATGGAGGTTACATTGTCTAAAATAATGGCAAATTAATTAAGTGATGCATCAACTTTGTAAATAAAAAAGAAGGAATATCAAATCGATGTTATTGACTAACAAAATGTAGCGTTGCTGTAATCACAATCTCTCCTTAGGATAGTAGAAGGAAGAAGACGAAGCACCCTTCTTTAGGATAGTAGAATAAAGTTTTGCAGTTTGTTAAAAATTCTAATTAAAGTTTGACAATAATTAAACTACATATGAATAATTAAGCCATGATCGATGTCATCGGCATTGCTTAGCTTAATGATCAAATTAATCAAGTAAAATAAGTTTTCAAACTTCTGCACAGTGCAAACAAAATTTAGTTTTTATTTTTATTTTTTGCAATTAAATATGACTTAAATGTTATTAAATACTATGTATATCGATCAGCATTAAATCTATAAAGTAGTATTTATGTGCATCGCTCTTAAACACTTTAGCCTTGGCCTAAAATGCACAAGTGAAAGGCAAATAGCTGAATAAGTGGACATTTATGACAGATCGAAATTACGTGTGCATAATTAGCACAATGTATATATTTTTAGACATCATACCAGACCGATATACTTCTCTCATTTCAAATTTACTTTAGACAAATATTGAATATCGATTAACTGATTTCTATTATAATAAGGGCACGAATAATGGCAATAAATATGCTCATTTGCAACATATTTAAATTAGATCAACGATTCAATTACTCCATCTGTAAATATGTTTAAATTTAGATTTATTAGTTGTTCACATATATAAAACTTATGCGCTAGCTATAACACATTTCATTTTTCATACATGGATTAATGATTATTCCGGGATGCTATAAGTTCACTCATTCACCGCAAATAAAAAAATATTTTTGATTGATCAGAAAAATTAGTTCCAGTTGTCAGTGAATCATTTCAAGCACAGGTACTGATCTGATTAAATGCAGTAAAATCATTTTTCACCTGGCAACCATTTTCTTTAGCTGGTTGATGATGAAGTTTATGTGCATATATTGCCTTACAAGATCAGAAACAAAGAAATGAATCAAAATGAAAGACAGTATTTTTTGGAAATTTAATCAGAGTATCTTTTCACTTTTGATAGACTTTAAAAAAGCAAAATGACATTGCTAATTTTTTGACATATTTAGAAGGTAAAACAGTCATAAAGCTGAAATTACAATTTTTTACTCCATTAAAAAAACTGTCTTCAATTTCATTCTTTTGGTGCGGTTGGTTTGTTTCAGCGACTTTTTTCTGCTTCTAACATGAATGCAGAATTCGTAATCAATCTACTCACTTTCTTAGCTTTAAATTCAAAATTTGGAAATTCTTCATTCACCGTTATGAACGGTGATGATATTTATTAGAATATTTGTAGAGAATGCATTGATGTGAAAACTGTCCAATTTTAGTTTTAATAAAATAATTATAAATTTTGGTGGATCATTCCACTTCTTTTAGTATTTTTTAATCCAATATTTTGTTTCTCCTGTTCAATTATTTCCACTTTTAGTCATTATTTTTATTTTCTGACTAATGAAAATTCTTTGCTCAGAACATCCTAAATTATGGATTTGTTATATTATGTGATCCAAAAAAAGAAAAGAAAATACAGAAGTTTTGGAAAATAGAAGTCTAGATAATTTAAAATTCCTTAAATAAATAAATGAAAATGTTATGAAATATTTGAATTTTTACAGTTCCAATTTCACTTGATCCGGACGGCATGATTTACTTTATTTCCGATAAATTATGACGCATTAAGGAAAGAGTTACAAAAATTGTTTACCGATTCAATATGTCAAATTATCTTTTACACCACCAGCAAAATGTACATTTTTAGCTCCACAAATATCTCAGCTATTGCATCAATTGCAATGCGACTAGATCGATGGTTGGACTACGAAAGTGGACATGCATGGTGTGAAAGTGCTTACAAATATCAAACTATTTCAGTTGTTGCTGAATTTGCCAATACTGTCAGTTGTTTATCTTATTTTTAATAAACGTAGCATATTCAATTGCTTAATGGAAAAGTGAAACATCAATTAAACTTCATTTGCTTTCATCCTTAATTTCAATATCAAATTATTATTTCAGGATTTAGTCAAAATGAGAAGTTCGTGTAAAAACATAGTAACATTATCTCATGAATGTTTTTCGAAGTGAATACTAGCAGGATTATTTTTAAGTAGTATATTTCCAAAAACCAATATCTTATCACTTAACTTCAATTTCATGAAAACTATTATTTAGCTCGTTATTAAACATGCATACATATTTCAATGAAAAAATCTTCACTCCATTTGATTAGGTAATTTATAGTTAAAATTTAATGTATGAATTCGAAAAATGCATATGTTTCAGGTAACAAATTTACCACTGATAATGTTACCACTTCTGAATGTTCTTCTGATAAAACCATACATCGAGACTGTTAACTGGATTGTAATTATGCCCCATATTCTCTTAACTGTAAATGGTATTGCATCTACTTATTATCATGCTACTCTCAATCTTTTTGGTAAGTTTTATTTTATTTATTATTTATCATCTCTTATTAATAAAATGAAATTAAGAACTGATAATACCATAAAATGATCCCGAAAGTTAGGAGAATTTATTTGTTGGTTAAAATGTTTACATATATATAAATATGACAAACAATTTTGAGGAAAATATTACACAGTTTTTGTAATATTCCTTATAAGTTGCTTATAGGCGAAAACACCCACCAATTTCACTTTTACCCGTTTTATTCCAGGTCAGCTAATTGATGAAATTAGTATCTTATGGTTGTTGATGATGTGTTTGGCTGCTTATTTCCCAGTTTTCAGCTTCTACCCACAGCAATATCATAAATATATGTGTGTTTCAATACTTGATCAGCACTACCGTGTGATTCATTCCTCATCTTCCTTACTATTTCAGCAACAGACACTAAAATTACTTTAATTTTTGAAATTATAAAATCAGTAGACTCTCAGCTGCGATGTTCAACTTATAGCGGTAGAGTGCGTTGTGCGATAGCAATAATAACTATGGTAGTTAGTACATTTTGTTTCGTGAAACCATCACTAAATGCACTGGTATTAATGTTATGGTCTATACCAAGTATCGCTATCATCCGCCACGAAGCTGCTAAGTGAGTTTGTTATCTGACAGTAACCATTGCAGGATGAATTTCTTTTCGAAAAGCTATGTTTCAGTTCTGAAATTTTGGATTCCATATGTATTCCAATAATTTATTAGTCCTTTTTTCAGTGCTGGTATTCCTGAAATCATCAGTTCTCCAAGGAAAATATCAGTACTATGGATTGCAGCTTCCATTTGTTGGGTATCTGACCGAGTGTTTTGCGATTTCTGGCTTTTTTTAGGTTTTTTTTTTTTTTTTTAAATAAATGTTTTTCAGATAATAGAAATGGAGTTTTTTGAAATAGCCCATCGATCTTCTGCAGAAACTTCCATAAAATTTGATTTCAGAATCAAACTACTTGATATGCTTAAACAACACTGCCGTAACTATTTCAGGAACTCCATACTTCCATGCACTCTTTCATTTGTTGAGCAGTTTGGCAGCTTATAACGTTTTCATCATGTTTTCATTGATTGACATCTGTAGGCGCAGTGACAAACACCGTTATAGATACCGCATAAAATATTTTCCAGAAAAAGGACTTATTAGGCTACCATATATCGTTCTTAATCTTGACTGCAAATATTTGTGATTTTTCTAGTTCTCTTTTACTTCAGTATTGTAAAGTACCGGGTTTTCTTTATAAAATAAAATGCAATCAATGAAATGTTATTCATTTTGACACTTTTATTTTACCACAGTTTTTGTGAATTTCAATCCACTAATCATAATATTATTCAAGTAGAAATGAGTTTCGTAAGTTTATGTTTTGGTTGGTAACAAATATAGAAGTGGAACTATAAGAAGGGGAAAAAAATACGAACCTTTAAGTTACTTTACACCATCCAATGATAATCTGAGGCATAATTTTAATTCATTGTTGTTAAATGTGTGTTATTAAATGAAATAAATATTCAAGTTCCTTTGTGCATGAAACAATAAGGTTTTGTAAAGCATTTCAGAATTCTTTCGATCCGGAAAATCATTTTGGTTTATCTACTCTTATTCTTTCGTATAATAATCAAATAGACCGATTTTACGATTCAGAAATTTGATTTATCAATTTCTTCATTATTTACCTTCGAATTAACACTTGGATTAATCGGATAAAATTTAATACTGTGGATTTTGAAGATATGAATATTTACATTTACGAATCGAATACTGGACGGTAGGAAAAAAAAAAAGGAAAAACAGAGGATTTAAAAATGTCTGATGTAATAGTAATTTTGCTATTTCCATATTCAAATAAAATGGAAGTTGCTAATGAAATAATATATTTATGAAGTTCAAAATTGATGTTTTATATGTCAGTCACTTAAATCTTAAAATTTATAAAAATGTAACTTTTCAGACATGCTGTTCTCGTCACTATTTATTAATCACAAATTAATCACTCAAGTTGATGAATAATTCTTGCAAAAAATTTAATAAAATTAAAGAAAAAAATGACAATAATTGAGAAAAAAAATGAATATTGTCTAACAACAACGTTACTGCTTCCTATACCAGTAAATGATTGGACATATTCTTTATGCTTTATCAATTTTTACTATTCAATCATCGATACTGTTGCTAGATTCACGATTTTTGTCAGGGATAGTGGTGATAATTCCTGGTGATGATGATTTAATTATATTAAATTAACTATACTAAACACTATGATAAGAAGATACATGATATTATCTATGACTGTGAGATCACTCTACTGTAACTTTTTTTTTTTAGAAAAATCGTCGTTATTATGTCTTATGAGCATGGAAGTTAAAAATTTCATTACAAAATCGCTGTTGTACGGTTAATCCATATTTTTCATATCTAATTCAAACCGATATCTAAAATGAAAATTTGCTGGTGCTTTAGTGATCAAAAAAAAGTAGTGGTATTGAATGTAGTGATAATTGGTCATTGTAATTTAAAGATTGGAAAAACAAATAAAAGAAGTGGAAATTCAGAAGATCTGTCACATTTCCCTGTTTGAAAAAAGAAATTTGTAGATGGAAAAAACAGATATGCTGCCTCTTTTATTTATTTTTTTTCTTCCAGTTTTGGTTTTGTTTTTCAGCTTTTATCAATATAGTTGATGGATTGACATCATCAATTTGAAATGAGTTCCATGTAGGATCCGAACAGAAAGATCGACAACCCTCCCTTATTCTTGTTTCGATCGCATCATCAGCGATTAACGCAATCGTCTCCTGTATAGAAGAATCTTTGTTTTTTTACTACAAATGTTTCTCCTTCACTATTTATTGTATTAGTATTGACTGACAGAAAATATCAACAACGAGCTCTCCTGTTTTTAAAAAACTTTCAATTAAAATGAGTTCAACAAATTTAAGAATTGTTTTATTGAAGTACGATAAGTTCAACTGCATAGCGCATTTCTGGGCGATGATTCAAGAACTCCTTGATACAAGCGATGCACAATATATCATTCGATTGCTAGTAAAATTTTTGGTTTTGAAGAAAAAACTACAAAATTAAATTCCTTCTCAAATTGTTCTGCAGTTGTCCTGCTTTTGCAAGATGTATTAATATTGTTTATCGTCAGACCATTTCGCATAAATTATGGTCAGCTTCAGTTGTAGAGTAAGCGTTAACTAAAAATGATTTATAAAGTCAATTCTAGTTTCAGGGTTTTCTTAAAAGCACTGAAAGCAGTGAGCATTACAAATGATGTTTGGAAAAGCTTCCCCACCGGAACACCAACTTCGCCAGTCTGCTTTTCTTGCCGTGATCATTTCAACTGTTGCTGTAATCACTTCTATTATTACTTTGCCAATGCTGTATTCATTTATTATTATCTTCCAAAGTCACCTGTTCCGTGAAATAGAGTACTGTAAGGTTAGGAATTTTACTCTACTTTTATCGTAAATTGCTTTTCCAACTTTAAATAATTATGGACGAAAATGTTTTTCGCTGAATCACCAGCGATTAACTGAAATAGAATTTTTCCGTTCCTTTAATTTTCCTCCAATTTTCAAATTTGCACTTCTCTAGATTTGGTTTTCAAATATATTATTTAATGTTTTTCCTCGTCGTCCACCTCTTCTCTCCATTCATTTGAAGTCTTTTAAATGGATTAAAAATTTCTTTTTTCAACATTTTCTTCCAAAAGATCAAATTGTTGCTTCGAAAGTGTCCAATTTATCCGCACGACGAGTTTAAGGCAAATATCATGAATCTGCATTAAAGTGAATAATGTAAAAATGTAACAGCGTAACGTCATTTGATGGGGTCTTGCAAATATTAGTAGCTGTGCCTATACATCTCTACTACAATCATTAGAAGTGGAAAATCTTTCAAATTAAATTTATCCTTTTGTATTTCAAAGCGAAAAACTGTGCTGTATGCATAGTTTCTGAAATGCACTGATATATTTTCATAGCTTAATTATCCGATTAATATAGAAGTCTCGATCACTTAACTAGCTATTGACAATTAGAAAACTCTTAACTGGTTAAATTTCAGGCACGAACAAAGGATATAAATATAGAATTTTCATTGCTAAGCAATAAAGCCAGTGACACCTCAAATGACAGAATGAAACGACAACATAGCAATTATGGGATCAATTCAAATGGACCTTCTATCTTTGGTACTTTTCCTTCTATGTTTATATTTTTCCGAAAGAATTTCAACCATTGCAAAGATGATACTAGAATACAGTCAATTTTCAGTCTATCTTATTTCCCAACAAATGCTAGAATAGTAAAACAATTAAGAATCACACCTTGAAGCCATCTTATTGTAAAGCTACTGCAATAGAAAAACGACAGTCTTACATATCCAATATAAACTTATATCGCATTTTGTAATTCTATGACCTCTGAATTTTCAAAATGTTCTTTCATTTTCTTCTCTATTTTACTTTCAGATCAATATCCACAGCTACCTCTTAATACAAACCATAAGTTATCTTCACGTAGTTTTTGCTCGTGTCAACAAGGATCAGTGGGTCAATCAGGAGCTCCAGGTGATAATGGTCCCCCGGGTGTCGATGGTATGCCTGGTACAGATGGTAACAACGGACGAGATGCGAAAATACTTGTTGTGTTAGAAAAGGTAGAATGAAAATCATTGAAGATTCCATTTTGATACTGAATTAAAGAACAGCGACCAGTCTGAACAACAAAATAGTAACTCACAAAATTCTCATACATTTAGTAAATATGCTAGAATTCATATAGTCGCATTCCGTATAAAATAAGGTTGTCCTAAATGCTACAAAAACAGTCATAATTTATTAGTATACTAATTTTTTTAAGCACAGAAATTAATGCTTCTTCATTTAGGAGAGTGGTTGTTTCGTCTGTCCACAAGGACCACGTGGAGTACTAGGGATGCCCGGTTTTAAAGGACTTAAAGGAGCAAAAGGATCATTGGGCAAAAACGGTACAGATGGTGAAGATGGACGAATAGGACTGCAAGGGGCGAGAGGTCCTGCTGGTGATATGGGGAAAATTGGTCCTAAAGGTGTATATGGCAAGCCGGGTAGTTTAATCAAAGTAGGGACATCTCAAGGACGTGGCTTCAAAGGGAGAAATGGCCCATCAGGAGGTTACGGACCGCGAGGTAAACCAGGCTGCAATGGAAAGTCATCAGATGGACCGATTGGTCCACGTGGCACTCCTGGTTTAGAAGGCAAGCCTGGAACATCAGGGACCATTGGACCACCAGGAGCGCGAGGCAGAATGGGCGAAAATGGAAATTGCCGACAATGTTCGAAGTTACAACTGCTGCCTGGTCACTGGAAAATTATGAAAACTTTTCGTTTTCCGCTGACTCATCGGCAATGATGTTCAGGAATTAATTCTATTATTAGATATTCAGTTCTTTTAACTGTCAAAGCATCAAAAAAAAAAGGTTATGCTTAAACTGAAAAGAAAATTTCCCGAAAAAAATCTCAGTAAGACAACAAAACTTCCGAACAAAATCTGCAACTTAAAAACTAATACAGACGATAGTTCTTATGAATTCAAGGTCAATCAATATGCATAGGGATAAATAAATTTACAAACAAAATTTATAAGAGATTTTAGTGAGTCGTTAAATTATCAACGGTACTGCTGTTTAAGTCATACGGAACAATTAAATAGCGACTGAAATTGCGCAGCTGTCCCGGACCACGTACTTCGCTTTCAAGCAGTGGTAATTTCGTTACATTAAAGTCTTCATAGAGATCAGCAATCTATAAATCAATAATGAAAAGTTCTTCCGTACCACTATTAATAGCAATAAACTAAAAAGCCTTGGTATGAACAAGACGAAAATTATAAAAATATATTCAAACCTGTTCCAAATATTTTTTCTGTATTCCATATCTTGCTGAACATTTCTTACATTTCACACAACCATTCTCATCCTCTTCCGGATACAGTAATTGATTGACAATAATATTATGTGTATCGATGTTCTGCAATTTTTTTTTTTTTGCATTAACAAATAAATTCAAGAAAAATGATACTACTAAAACAGTACAGATGAAGAAATTAGGACCTGTTTCGTTAATTCCTGAATAAGGCGTTCCGTTTCATAAAGAGATAAAAATTCGGCAATGCATACACATACGAAGGTAGTAAGGTCCTATAATAGATGAGCAGATGAACTCCACCACTTATTAAAATTATTGATAGAAAAATCTGAACCAGCAAATTAATGAAAAGTCATCAATAAATTTATCCCAATGTAAAATATTTTTGGAGCTTCTAATGAAGTATCCAAAAGAACATACCGGATCCTTGAATTGAGAATTTATCCTCCTAACTACGTCTAATGTTTCCCTGAGCTTATTCGTCGTATCATCCGCCGAGATTTCACCAAGACCTAACATTCCACCCATCTAAACATGACACATACAAAAAATATGAGACAAATAAACATGTCAGAAAACTATAAATTACCTTATAAATTAATCATGCTAATATAACTTTCACCTACAGAAGCAAAACAAATAGAGATGTTTTACAACTGAAATGTAACCCTTTTATTTCAATCAAGCCATTTTTTCATTTTACAACCTTTTTAATGTTACTTATATATATATATATATCGTAACTCCAAATAATGTGCGACCTCTAGGTATGACACCGTACAATTTTAATGAATAAAGCAAATTTACCTGCGTCATTAGAGGAGCAAATGAACTCTGTAGACCGATAAGTTTGCCCAAACTACTTTCGATAAGCGTTGGAAATTGCAATAATCTTAACGTATGACCTGTTGGAGCTGTATCAAAAACAACGACGTCAAAGTCCATTGATTGTATCAATCTGAAAAGATGCCACAATTCCTCGCTAACAAGTAAAAAATTGTGGAGAGCACAGTAGAGTGAGTACATTCAGAAGCACATAACTTAGCAAAACGATCTTTCATAAAAAAGTGGCCTATAAAAATAAAGGATAGTATGATTAGCAGTGGATATGAAAAGTTTAAAAAGGCGGCTTATTAAATAATATCATAAAAAGGAAGCAAAAAAACAATACTAACACGCAAGTTACTATAAAGAAATATAAACTGTTTTGAAAATAATGTCAAAAAATTCTTTATAAAGCACTTATTACTTCATCATTTGCGAAAAACTCATTGCTTCATCGATACCTGGAAGACCGCCGACCATTTCTTGTAACACTTGTCTGCCAAGACTTATGATGTCTGGAATAATTAGAGATATAATGTAATAGTCGCTGCTATAGTTAACACTTAGAATCGAAAAAACCGGAATAAATTGTTACGCTTAAACTTTTCTGAAGTTTATAATGCTGAGATGTGAGCATATCGAAAGGGAAATGGAACATCACAATTAAATTCCCCTACAAATTAGCCGAAATATCTAATTCATATAATTGATTCCAGAGTAAATATGATTATAAAGATATACCTCCTTCACTACTCTCTACTCCAGGATTAACCATTTGAGCATCATTTCCAAGGTTTGCTTCAATCTCCTATAAACAAGAAAGTAGGCATAAACACAAAATGTGGGTCATAAAATTAAATGGAAGATTAACGTTGATTTCTGGAACGAACCATTGCATACAAGTTATTGAAGCCATTCACGGCGCTTGGAGTTTTGTTGAATTTTTGTGCAAAGGCATCCGATATATTGTGTGCAGGGTCTGTGGAAATTATAAGCACACTTCGCCGTACTTGTGATAATTGAATGGCTAACGAACAACTACAATTAATTGAGTAATTAGCAAAATAAAGATATGTAATTATAACAGCATTAAAAGTGCAAAAGTCCGCAAATCTCGAACATATTTTCATACCATCTACAGTAAATCATGATCTAGGGTAATAATTAAGCTATCCCGTAAGTTATACAGAAATGAGCAAAAAAGTTTGCTGCACAGTCACGAACCTGGAAGAGTGGAAAATGAAGGATAAATGAAGTGAAACCAATACCTGCATGTCGTCTTACCCACACCACCTTTACCACCCACAAAGATCCATTTCAATGTCGTTTGATTGATTACATTTTGTAACGTAGGTTCTAAGGTGTTCTCCATCATAGTCTAAATCTGAACCGAAGGCTTACTCTATCTTAATAACTGAATTAAATTTCATTCGCTGATTAATTTAGCGTCTCAATTTCGCATAACAATGTTTTCGAAAATGGACGAATTCATGGCTTTATGTTTGGTCGGGTTTCTTACTCATTCTATTCCAACTTATGAAATAACCTTGTACTAGAATTGTCGTGTCACTTTTTCTTTTGAAAAAAAAGATTGCATAAGTGTGAAAACGATGTTAAATGCCCCCTCTGTTAGTCTCCCTCAGTTAAGTATCACTTAAAATTGAAAAGCAAAGCTTCCAAATTCCCTTATTACGCCTTAATCAATATCCTGACATACTCTTTTGCTAAACCCCATCGTCGTCATTTCATAAACAAAATCCGGAAATCTCGTTAATTTTGTGATTGTGAATGGCTACTATCTGACCCTACTACCTTAGCATCACAGGCATACTACTACTACATGCACACATACATACACAACACTCATACACACAAACACTTCCGGTCATAAGTAAGCTAGCTACTGTGCTCCATATTACAAAATGCACGAGACCGTGGTTTTTCACTACGCCACACCGAGGTTTCCGAAACAGTTCGTTAAATTCAGTTTTATGGATGACAGCAGCGGTTGCATAGGTGTCACAATGCGGGAGTGGTGACGGTTCGACGACAAACACGATAGCATGGTCAGGACAGCAACAAATACTTTTTATTGAGAGCAAGGAGAAAATAATATATGTCAACTGTATAATTTAGTGCAGACTGAGGGCGACATTGGGGGGCCATTTCGATTGAGAAATTACAGATGCAGTTATTGAAGCAGTGAAGCTTTTCTTGACGAAGAGCCTTAAGCAATACACAATCTAGACAAATGCTGCCGACTAACTTAAAATTTTTTTTTTCATAATATATTTGTGATAGTCGATTTAATCCAACATTTCATTTCACACAAATTTTTACAGATAATAAATATCCAAACATACAATATACATAATCACTCTTAGTTCATGTTGGAACTGAACTCCAAGTTCTTTAGCTATATCGCCACCTGTATTCGTTAAGATGAGCGAAACGAACGAAAACCGTCAGTACTTTCACCACCATTTATCGTAAGTAAGTTATGTTCAGCAGATCAGTATCAGTTAAGTTGTCATCTATTGAGTATTTTTGCAATAAAATCCGTTTTTTTCAAAAATTCTCAGTTTTCTGAAATGTTGATTATGAGGATAGGAAGAGCAGGGAAAGGTTTCGAAAGCAAAGAATTATTTGAAATTTTAAAATGTTTTGGAAAATAGAAAAAATTTGAAGGAAAAGTTACCAGCAACATAAAAGAATATATAGCCGTCCCTGATGCATTCAGAAATGACTTCCGCTTCCGTTTTTTCTTCAACGTCACTATCATCGAAATGCATCCAGGTATTGTTGTTTAGGTTTCTCACATCGCATACATAATGCCCTGAATTTTCGTTCATATATATAGTTAATTTCTGGTTAGGGAGAGTTAAATGACTTTAAATTTCAAGTGGGGATTTTTAAAAGGCTGGTTCATTTCTTAAACGAAACACTGTTCGATGGAGTGACAAACGCCCTTAGTTATAAAGTGAATACTGACCTTTACTTGAACCAATTCCCTTATGACTGATAACTGCAGCGAGGTTATAATCACATATCGCATCATTCTACAAAAGAAGTATATAAGATTTCCTCAGAAATAGAATAAACTAAATAACAGCTCATATAAGCATCTAAACTAACAAGCTTTCTTCGAAAAATTTCAGAGTAAAAAAAAAATGTCTGAATACCATTCAAGTTAACAAACGTACCGAGATAATGTCAAGAACTGGTTTGTAATGAAAATTTTCATTAATAAGGAAAATCGCATTCTTCCTGCTACTATTATACTTTCGAATCGGCAATTCTATAAGGATAGAAGGAATAAAAGTCAAAAAAAATTCTGAGAGACATTTTGTAACGATTTTGACGATGATTATAAACTTTAATTAAAGCGACCTTTAACTGTCATTCAAACTATAAATGGATGTTTGTTATGGGTATTTTGAAGACTTTAAAATTTTAAATTTTTTAAATTTTATAGATGGAGGTTTGTCATCGGAAAACTCCATTAAACATTAATATTAGAAAATATGTTATTAAACAGATATCCAGTATAACTTATATTTCTGCAGGTTTTCATGAGAAAAAGATAAGGAAGAGAAAGGAACAAAGGAAGTTACTGTGAGATTTGCCATCCTTTCCGACCGTATATAATGGTCTATACCGAAGCCATCTGCTGTTAAAAAATGTCCAAATTTCAACATTTAATAAAGCGGCAAGGGCAAGAAGTTCAATTTCTGTTGCCCATTCGCCATCATTTGTCATTTTCTTGATATGTTCCTTCCATTTAGCCAGCGAAAGATGGTTCACTTCTCGAAGTAGATCGTTATAATTCTCTTCAAATTTCACTACCTTGAAAATGTAATGTCCGGACTATTTAGTTAATTTACAATTTAATTTACATACTTAATTTACAAACATTATTTAGATAGAAAACAGGTCAATTACATTTTTCCTAACGATCAAGTGCTCCTCATCACTTCCTGATAAGTAAAGCGCTATGGAACGAAAGAGACAGTTTCCATCTGCTACAACAGGTGCAATCTTTGAAGGTACACTTTTCTGGAAAAGAGGTTTCTTCTCTCGCCTGTAAAATAAATTTTAAACAGTTACCATAAACACTTCTACAAAACTGCAATCAATGATTCTTTTCAGAAACCGTGATGATTTGATCCTTGCTAAGAGCTTTATAAAACTATCCAAAAAATCCTAAAATCGATACCGAACTGCTGAAAAACGGTAGCGAATATTTAATTCGGCACAACAGCGTTCACAAAAATCAGGTCGCGGTAAACAGAATAACGTTAAATAGTCCAGTCTCTAAAAAATAAATCAAGGTCACAAAGAGAGAAATATTTGTATTTGCAAAATAATCTATTAAAAAAATTTTGCATACGAATTAATAATTTTAATAAAGAGAAAGATCTTTCACACCCTACGTCAATAAAACAAAAATTGAGTTAGGCAAAATTACTAGAAAAAACAGATGGAAACCTCGTCAGCATTCGAATCATCTGCAACTACTGAGGACTCTGTGGACAATCTTAATTTTCCCGCTAACTTTTCACCATCGCAATCTTTAATTTCTTGAACTTTTGGTGTACTTTTTTTAACGGTCCGTTTAAGATCCTCTCTTATCTAAAACGACCCTATTGTAAGTTTTCAAAGTGTTTCAGTCCTTTCATGTAAAGGTTTGCGAAGGGAATTTAAAAAATAACTTAAATATTTAAATAATCCTTCAGAATCAGTAAAAACCATGTTAGATTCTTTTTCCCCTATTTTTTTAAATAAATTACATCATCACTTATAAAAAAAAATTATAGTGTTACAAAATAACTTTAATACCTTTAGTAAAGAGTATTCAAGTTAGAAGGGAAGTAAACCAACAAAAGACATACATTTTCTGAATTACTAGAACCACTCGAAGCTACATAATTCGGAGGTGTTTCCAAAACAAAAGACACTTCATCACTGCTAATACTATTGCTGATAGGAAGGAGGCTGCTAAAAGAACTTTTAGACTCATAACATTCTCTATTATAAGAAATTAAACGAATGCACATTGAAAGTTTCACTGCATCTTTCAATTTTCTTTGTCTTGCTCTTGATGTTGAATGCTTGAAATCATAACGCTTCAGAAAGATGATCAAGCACCTAAAATGTATCACCTTTAACATGCTTAATAAGCATATAAATACAATGTATTGAAAAAAGTTCAGCACTTGAATGTTAATGAACCCCATGAACTTTCAACCTAAAAAAAACCAATGCAAATATCTAATTACCAGACAGTATTACGTCTTGAAGAATAATAATTCCACATCAGACTAAGGCGCTTCCACAGTAAAACCATAAATTGATAAGAATGCGCTCAAAGTATTCTGCATTGGTAAGATATTTAAACTACATAACTCACTTCGAAAAATTAAGGAATTCATGACTCATGGTAGCGTATTTTCCACTGCATTGAAGACAGATATGTTCAACCACTTCACTTTTTAAATAATTTTCTAACAATACTTGTAGTGAAAGTGAGTCACTGTTGCTGTAAAAATTTGTTGAAGAAAGTTTGATGTTGTTACTTGAAGCTATAAATTGTTTAGAAAGTTTTTGTGAAAGAATTTGAATGAGATAAGTAGACAGACACCAAACCTACACTTTATTCACGATTTGTATAGGCAGAAACAGTCCCTTTTCACACATCATTTGTTCGACACCACATCTGCAAGAATTATACCATCATTATCCTGCAATCTAGCTTTTTAAATCAGATTATGAGAATTATATAGATTTTATTTAAGAAGAGAAGCTTGATAAGAAACTTGAAATGAAAGATTCTTATCAAACTTCAATAGCTAAGAAACTCAGGAAGTCTGATGACTCATATCCAAAAAACATCCCTACAAATTGCTTTAATTCTACTGTAAATGCCAATTTCATTAAGTCTCCTAAATTAAGCCTTTGCATATCAAATTGCATCGTCCCCTATCAGATATTAAGACTAGTGGAATGGGGTTAGGAAATAAGGGAAAGCGAATGACGTTCCTTATATGTATAATCATATCATGTAAAAACTTCGATAATTAATAATATAATCAGAAAAATGTTCACTTACATTTCACAAGTAAACTCTATGTAAGTAGAAACACTAACTTATTGCAAATAATTTCATGTTTCAATTCGAAACCAAAAATTGACGAAAGAGATATCACTGATTCGGTATCTGTACTGATTGCAAATGATTTTAGTTCAGAGTCAATTTTATCCAATACAATAGTTAAAAACTCTTCCACATCCTGTAATCACTAACATCATTGACTGCACAATGTCAAAAAAGTGACCTTCCTCTCTGATTTTTTCCTTCATCTTCTCTCCCTTTTCTTTGGCTTTGCCAGAACTTAGTATGCAAAAAAATATAATTTGAATATGAAAATTAAAAATCGAATACGCTACCTTCTGTTCACTCATTTCAAATTGTTCGTCGTCTAGAAATTTAAAAACATTTTCTAGCAAACACCGCTGCTCTGCACTGGGTGATTTCTGGTAATTTTTTCGAAGTGCTTTTAAAGCGCTAAAAAAATCACATTAGGGATGTGTTCGCATCGTATCACGAAATACAACGTAAGATATTTTAAAGAATATAGATCGACTTCACTGAAAACAACTTTTGTCAGCAGTTTGGACCGCATGATCCTTCGCAGTCTTCTACATTGTAAAGTTACTTCCATCTTCATTTCCCAATAAGTATAAGTCAATTTTATAGAAAGATAAACAATAATATAGTTAAAAAAAAAAAAAAAAAACCTCAGAAAGGTGCCTTGTAATGATTCTGGTACGACACTTAACATATCATTAAAGGCCTCAATATGAAACAATCCTTGTAATAAAGCATTCACATAACATGAGTTTCTTTCAGAATTCAGAAATCTAGAAGGATGCATACATTAGAAGATAATGTGATTGAGTGCAGAACAGATAAACGACAATTTACGCCCATTGCCGTTTTCTTCTGCAAAATATTTTTAAAACTAATTTACATTGTAATAACCTGAAGTAAACATTTCAAATAAGGATCTCAATGTTGAATTATCGAGTCTACTTCAGGCCTGGAAGGGTCTTCATTTGTTTTCGATTAAACCCTAACTTTCCAGTCCCTATTTATTTGCCTATTACTAATACAAACCGAATCCGCTCTTACTGTGACTTATTCTGCTACGAAAATTAGCAACATTCATATGCTGCACAACTATTTTACCCTTTCAGTGAAACTGTATCTGTTCTTGCCGATAACCGCTCGAAACTCGTTGCGAGATGAGATGCAGACTGTCTTCTACGAGTGCACAAAAAAGCATCATCCAAACTGACAATTCTTTTCTTCGAATTATTGCTTTTTGTAATTACTTCGTTTATTCCGAATATTCTGTTTTCAGAGTGTTGCTTGATAAGAGGACTTAGCAAAATATTTCTGACTTCCTTCTGAGATTTATGAGTAAAACTTTTACTGGAAGAATGGAGATAAATATCAGTAGATGTGGTTAGTTTTCTTTTCTGATTCCAATTTTTCATACGTTGTGGGACGACCTTGTCATTGTTCTTCTCGTTTTTGTTCCACTCTATCAGATTTCTTTGAAAAATTAAAAGTAATAGTGGTTATGAGAAGAACATTTCGTGATTTCACAAACACTAGAACGAAAGCATTATTCGAGAGCCAATGTGTTTCAAAAGTGTATGATCCTACAGATCATACAAGCCAGCTTTTGTGAACAATTTGGCATTAGCAATACCAAGGAAAAGCATACCTGCCAACACAAGTCTGATGTGTTACACTTATCTGTTGGAATGTTGACAATTGCTTGACCAATGTTCGTTTCTGAACCACTAACTGTTGCTGACTCTCCGATTTCGTTTCACCAAAAATTGGGGAAAGATTACGAAAGATTTATTGGAAAGTGACATATAATAGCGATCTGCCGGTGTCCAAAACCAGATTTAATTACAAAGAATTACTACAACATTTTAATTCATCTGAACGGGATTCGTCTGACTTCAGACAAATAAATACATGACGATTATATCGAATGTTGCTAATCGATTACCGGTTATATTCTTACAAAAAATCATTTTTTGATTCTTCAAAGTCAACCTGTGCGTTTCTGTTGGAGATAACGAAAGGCGTAATAAATCGTGTGACAATCTTTAGATCTTTCAGGCTTTATTAATACATGCTCATTGCAGTCAGTGCCCGATTTAAGTTTGCAAATTCGGAATACCAAGCTACTGCAATCCTCCGCTCGTTCCAAGCCGCTTATTTGTGTGCATTCCTGAATTCGTACACAAATTTTACATAATGGAACCAAATCTTCTTGAAATTATGAACTGAATTTATGATTTAAACGATGACTGCTCGATAAAGCCTTCAACATCAACATTATCACTATAATGTTTAATTTCTTCTGCATAATGATACATCTGGATTCAGTCTTTATACTCTCCTCCTACCGGATGTGAATAAATCCTGTCATTATCATAAATAGGAAGAAAAGAACTCTTTCCAGACGTCGTTCTCCATTTTCCAAATAAAATATTCGCAGGGAGCTTGCTTCGCCATCGTTATATAGCTCAACAAAGCCAGGATGTAAATTGTCCGTGAGTAGCACTTCATCTTTTTCCACGTTAATCTTGAAATAAATTACATTATCAGTATTGTCTCTTATTCTGCAAATTTGAAATGAAGGTTTAAAAGAAATGGATATTAGTTCCTACCGATGCAGGCCATTTTGTTAGATACCAAACCATGTGATTTGATGTTGAACTGAGCCACTGCTAAACGTAGAAAAAAAGGAAAATAAAAATAAAATTAATACATTGATTAATTACAATTAACATCCAAAAGCCATATGTGATACCAGTAGAGTTACATCTGATAAGCACAGAATCATATCCAATAAATATCGAGTCTTAATGGCTAGGACCATGCTTGATGGGTATCGAATCATGCATGAACGTCGTACTGTTATCTGCCTTTGCATAGCCATATGCCACGAGCACAAATGATAAGCGAAATAATCAATACATTAGTTATCCTATGAGAACAGCATGTTCTCAATCATATTCGAGACATTTTCTTACCTGTAACATCTGTCTATTCCCCTATAATCCAATCATCCTCTAAAGTCATCAAAGTCTGCTATTAGGAAGATATTTCCTAATAGCAGACTTTGATATCCTGGATCAATTATCAGCAATAACCAAGTAACCCGATTTTATCCACATAAATCGACACTAAGACCTGTATCGAGAAATAAAAACTCATCCATCTGTCTCTGTTTCTCCTTTTTCTCCCCATCTGAGTCACACATCCTTCCCCAAAATTTGCATAACGATTATCTAAAACTACGTCGTATACTATATCCGCATCGTTATCACATATCTTATATCAAGTCACTAAGATATTTCTTGAAATCTGTTCCCAAATATTTCAAAGCTTTCAGTAAATCAAACTATTCTGAGCTTGTTTTAACGCCTTATGACACATGCATTTCGTGAGATTCTCCTATCGTTGGAGATACGTACGTGTTTTGTTTTTATTCTTTATCATAATTTAATCGATTAGTATATGAGTAGAATGTGTGTTTTTCATTGGACAATATGGAAGAGCGGGAGCTTTAACACTTGTTTTGGTTATTGAAATGGAGAGAGACAAGGACAGGTGAGTTCGATTCCATTTATTGACACATCACATCGCGTTTCGAAACAAAAAAGAATTTTTTTGTTTGTTGTTTGCACGCAGTAAATGTGTGAATATGAATTGTGTCTGTATAACAACACTGTGTTGTAGGTGTTCAGTACGGCGATATGACTGACATTCGAATCATTTGACTTGTTTACTAAGCTGTTAATGCATTGTAAAAACTCGTTTAAATGTAAACAGTTCTTGCAAATGAAAACAACAACTATCAGTCTTAGGTGTGTACCTTAACAGGTTGGATTAGGAAATGCTTGAAGTAGAAAAGGAAAAAATAAATTTTAATATAATCACTCGAATTGCAATATGCACTGCCATCTGATGAACGAATTTGAACGAAACAGAAATGCCTTTTTGTTGTTAACACACAAAAGTAAATTTCCGAAATTTGCGTTAGAATTTTGATAAAAATTTTCAAGGCATCAAAATAATGCGAAAACTATATGAAAACAACTAAGTATTGAAAAAGGAATTTGCTTAAAATAAAATTTCCCATTTTTATAAACATTGCAAAGAAAGTTAATTCGATTCGATTATTTAACTATTTACTCTTTAAGCCAAAATCAAATTGATTGAAAATTCCTTCTCTTTTTTTGTTTTTGAAATAAATACGTGATTTATTAGACGTTATAAGCACTATAGCAATTATCATAGTAAATTCCATAATGCCGTAGGATTTTTACCTCGATTATATTTACAGGAATTCTCAACCCAATTTTCGAAATCAAAAATTATAACTCTGACGAATACATACCTAATCCAAAATGTTTGCATTTCCGATGAAAATTCCCTTCCAAACCTAAAACTTCCTCTCATTTTAATTTATACAGTAAGCAGTCCGTTACTTACATTTCTTTAATGTAAATATTACTTTATTACTTGAATATTAATTGACAAACTGTACAAGCTTCCCCAACTGGTAGGCAAATAATTTTACAGCTGGCAAAATAAGAAAACCTGTTTCTTTGCTTGCATCAAATAAAGATGGAATATTTGTATCTTAATAAAATAACTTTTAAAAGATTCATTAAGGCTTTTACACGATGGAAGATACAGCCATATACTTTAGAAGGTATAGTGTAAGGTCTTCGATGATTCTTAACTTTTGCATTACTTTCAAAATCTGCGATCGTTTTAGCAAACTATTTTCCTTCCATAACAAGTACCTTTAAAGTTTGTTTGAAACACGAAAACAAAAAAATCCGGGAAAAGAATAAATGCTTCACACTAAAACGATAGCCATATTTTTTCCAATTCAAACTATTTGATCGATGCTAATTAAGAATTTTTTTTTTTAGGAAGTTGCAAATTCTTATTGTAATCGACTAAGAAAAATTTCATATTTAGAATTCTATATTCCATATATTATACACAGATAAATACTTAACTACTTAGTAACAAACTTTCTGTTCGCTAAGAAAAATTCTTTTATATAAGCATTAATTTTGCAATTTGAAGAAGTTTAATCTTGGACCGAAATTCAAATTTAAATTTCTTGCAAAACTGTTAGTGAAAATACACATAGTAATTTTATAATTCAATTTGTCACATTCACATTCAACCGCTCAGTTATAGACCCATAGTGAAAATTTCTGGAATGTAGACGAATCATCCGTTTATTAAATTGTTTTGATGATGAACTTAATTACTGTATTCCTCACTGCAATTATATTACTGAATCCTTTGCTGCATAAACAAATAATGAGTTCCTCATTTACAAGATTTTCGAAAATTTCACCAAGTTTTTGGTTTTTTCGTAGCTCGTAAGGACGGATTCTAATGGAATAATTACTAAAATAGGATACATATCCAAGTTATTGACATTTGGAACAATATGGGAGAATAAATAGTCAAAGAAATTAAGAAAGGAATGAAGTAAATTATTTTACTGATATAACCAGAAATCGATATCACTACTTCATTTACTACCCCTTCTATCAGATTTCACTTATAATTAAAGAGAAGAAATCAAAAACAAGCTTTTCTTCCATTGTTTTTTTCATGCTTTTTCATCCAAAATATTGCCGAAGCAGTTCTTCAATGCGATTTCTCTTTTATCAGAGGTATTGATGCATGCATCGTAATGAGTTCTGCGTTGTGAATCTATGACACCGTGCTTTTTTGTACAGTGTTCAACGATGGTTGTTTCGTCGAATAATATAATACCGCAATTTCTGCACCTGCAACATTTCTGCTGTAATATCGCATTGATCCAGCCGATGATCACAATGCGCTGGTTAATTAGAAGGTTTATCGAAGTGATACAGAAGGCTAATTTATTCGGTCTACTTTTGTTTCATCACTGAGATATTTTAACGCTTATTTCTTCAGCAACATTTTTACACTTTCGTAAGAATTTATGAAAACTTATTCCATCAAGAAAAAAGCTGTTAGAGAAAGGTCATCACTTCAAATAAAATTTAATTTTACTCGAAGTGATGATGACATCAAGTAAACCTGTAATGGAGATGTGTTTGACCGTGATGCACTAATGACTTCTTTCGTGTTGAAATTTTTCTCCTACAAACCACACACGTCAATTTCGCTAATGATTTCTTCTTTGCTACCGCACATATCTTATCAATCAGCTAAAAAAACGAATTTTAGTGATAGAACTAAAAAAAACTTTTTCACTTCTGCTTTTGGTTTATTCAACTGTTTTAGCTCATATCGATGAAAGCGATTCATGAAATGAAGTATCATTTATTTTTCATAAGAGATCATTTAGAATTTTTCTTACAATTATTATTGTCTCATTGTCGTTATCATATTCATTACTACAGTTATCATTTTTGTGATAAGAGTTGTGACATTACTATTTCTTCCTATTATTATAACCGTTGTCGTGTTGTGATTGTGTTAACAACAAAAGAAATGCTGCTTGTTAACGTTTCAACAGAATGTAACAGATCGAGTAAATTCAGTATTATTGTATGAAGAATATATATGAAGCGTAATTGTTTTCTGATAAATGGGATAAATTAAGAAACGAACATCACAATATGTCGCTTTTGTCTTAGTAATATTCCGCGGGAAGCATGTTCGTAGCAAGGATATTAACTGAGCCATATTTCGCCGGTTTTCATAAGTTATTGAGGGATCCTATAATGATACCATAAGAAATAATGTAAGATTTCAGTTCGAACATTTTTATTTATATGAGTTGAAATACATCATTTTTCTGGTCAGAAGTTTTTGTCCGAAACATTGCTAAATTTCCAAATTAAAAAATCTTATTTAGTAAAACAAATTAACCTTATTGGGATGTCCCTGTTTGATGTGAGCATAAATTCGTTCTAGCTGACATTCACTAGCGCCACACATTTTACAACGATAAGGCATTACTTCAGCATGTCCATACAAATGAATTAATATTAATGAATCGGAATTTTGTACTTTTTGTTCACACATCTGACAGATCAGCAAATCTTCTGTCGCATAACTGAAGAAGACCGTTCGATCATGTATGCCTCATGCAAATGATCATTTTCGTGTTTGGAATGTAAATTTGAGCATTCTTTTTTTATAAGTAAGATAATACCTCATTCGAATAGTTTTAACTTTCCGGTAGAACTCGATCAGTGCCTTCCTTTGTTCTTTACTATCTAACTTTTCATCCACACTTTCCACATCCACGTACTGCACATCTTCGGCATCTTCTTTCTTAACGTTATCATTCTGATTGCCGATATCGCATTTAATATTTCGTCCTTTCCTTTTCCCATAAATATGACTGCCAAGTTTTTCGATCTTTTTCTCGGACCAATCCATCCTTCTAATAGTTGAGTTTTCGCTAGAAACATCTGTAAATTAAGATTATTGTTGCTAGATTCAGCAAATCCGATCATAAAATAGAGCAAATATTATAGATGAAAGCTTCAACGGCTCGAAAATTCTCGAGAAAAATTGGATATTCATTAGAAATTTACACTTGTTCAAATAATATCAAGTGCTAGTGTATATAAATTTTGACTACAAAATTTTTCTTGAATCTTCTTCTTTTCCTACTAATAAGGTCAAATTATGTAAAGGGAATCAAATCCTCAAAATCTGGATACAATTTTGCCTTACAGTATAATCCATTTTAATTAAAGTGGGAAATTTAAAATCAAGCAGATATGACATAAAACGGACTAGAAGAGCAGCAAGGTGCCGATTTCATTTCTGGCTCGATCACGATTACTCTAGCTCGTTTGATTGCTGTTGTCATTTGGGTGCTTCCCACCACAGCTTGTTGCTGTAAAGATTCCGAAATCCACCGTTTCATGAAGGACGATACGGACGGTACTTGCTGGTATAGTCCGTGTTGTGCTATTGTTACCCGCGGTAAATGAATTTCTTGATGCTGTATCAGATTTTGCCATGTTTGCTTTGAAGAATTTGCCATTTTCTGTAGCTCGTCTACTACCAGAAAACCCGCCAGTTCATCAATTTGCGTTTCCTCAATAAGTGGTATGTTCAGTAGTGGTACTGTGGAAGATGCAACTGCTGGAAGATAATTTGTGTTCATCATTGAATTAAAGCCAGAGAAAATTTGATGACTATTAGGAGATAAGGGGAAAGCAGAAGAATCCAGATTTGATATGAAGTTCGGATATGCCGTTCTGTTTCGTTGCATAGCAAATGATGCGAACCAGGAATTGTTAGCCGTAATATCAGAATCCAGAATTTGCTGTTGCTGATGCTCTGGTGTCGTTTGATATACTTTCAATCTCAATGTTTTCGGTTCGGGTTGCTGTAGAATTTCTGCCAGTAAACGCTGTTGCTGTAGATCCATTGTATTCGGAAAGCTTAGAGTTACTGAATAGATGGATACCTTGGGCTGTTTGTTTAAGTAGGATTTTAGTACCAGCGATAGTGTCTCTTGATTGTCTCTGAATTTGTTGGGTGAAGTTTTGGAATCTTTCTTGCTTTTACCGGTGAAGAAATATTTGCTGCTGCAATAGCTCTCGCTCACATTCAAATTAGCTTGATCCAGAATGAATTGCACCGAATATTTAGATGCTGTTCGAAGTATTAGCATCAACTACAATTTTTGGATCCTGTAATGGATATTAACACTCCTGTAATGGATATTAACACCTTAAGAATTAAACAATTGTTTTTGAAACATTTATCAACAAGTAAGAAAGTTAGAATGTAGTAATTTAAAAATATTTTTTGGAATTGACTTGTCTACCTCGTACACTTCATATTTACAGGACCTCAATTAATTTCAAATAAATTTTCATATGTCAACTCGAGGTTATTTGTCATTTGCGAAGAAATTCTTAATATTAGCAAGGAAAATAACATTTAAAATATATTTGCTAAATCGATCAATGAAGAACTGCATGTATTTCTGGTTTCTGCTTTTTTGCATGCAGCATTTTCTGAGAGGTTGAAAAATTAGTGCTATATTAGTGTTATAATAAATTAGCCTGAATACCTTTTTAAATATGATTACTGTTTGAAGAAGGAAATGCGTGGGAAGAACTGCTCGATGGGAGTGTTAGATGAAATGTGCGAAATGAGTCTGTATTAGTACTTTCCGCTCCTGCACATGTAAATGTCTGACTTCATACTGAGAATCGCAGGTATACATTCAACAGCTGTATAAACCCTTCCAAAATCTCTGTCATTTTTAGTTCAATTAAAAAGGTCTTTTAGCAGTAATGTTCGGAAGTTTTCTTTTTTTGTGAGCAGGTATGGAACAACAGTTCTGGCTATCAGAGATAGTGTTCTAATCAAGTCAAATTTTTTTAGACAAATTAACAGTATCTTAAAGTCTTCAAATAACTCTTAGAGAGAGATAAAAAAACTCTTTCTTCCGCTATTCAAAAGAAAATATTTCAAAGTGCCAGTTTTTAATTCGTACGAATTTCTGCACTGGTCATGCAGATTGCAAGTCATTTAGAAGAAACGGAGAACTATATGATGTACATTTTTCTTTTCACCAGTAACACTGAAATTACTTTGAATGCTATTACCAATACTAATAGGAGGACTTAGGAACAATATGATAATCTTTCATTTAAACTACTAGGAACAATATAATATTGCCGCATTTCAGCTTCAGCCCAATAAAAAAATTTTTTGGCAGTTCTACAGTGAGTAGAAATTTGAATCAGA